ATTTGATAAAGCAGGCCTGCAAAAATAAATTCTGATTACACTGGCTATAAAGTAATTTTTTTCGAGAGCCTACCTGACACATTCGTCGTGTCGCATACAGACACGACGTTTTTCCAGTTACTAATAATTTTATCGAATTTTCGAGTTCACGAATATTAATGTATGTATGTGTGTGTGTGGTGAGAGCAAAATATCATACTTTCTAAATATGATACTCTGTATCATGGCAAGATTAAAAAATCTCCATCTGCAGAGGTTATGTTTCACATTTACGCTTATTTCCCGCCACACGATTCCGCGCGCATTTAATCGCGTTGTGCGCAGAATCAGTGCTGTTTGAAGGAAAACGCAACACCACTCGAAACTAATGGAGGGGAGGATACACACCAACGGAAAAGTCGCGTCTGTGAGCTACAGTTGAACAGCGAAGGCATACGTACCAACACGTACGCAGTTTTCTTGTGTATCGCGTCCCGTCCACTTGTTTTCAGGTGGAACCGCATCTTCATTCTGGCACCACTGGTTATAACCTCTCACGACTTTGACGCAATAATACAACTTTGTATATTGCGTTAATTATTGGACTTGATTGCTACTGATTTTCACGCATTTCTCTTGAGTTTCTCTGATGTTTTTTATTTCGAATTAATATTGAACTTCTACATCTTTTTGTTCCTGAGGTAAGACGGACTAAAGTAATTTACAAGGCGTTTCTTATTAAGTATAATTTATAGGAAAAAATCGAATATATCGTGTACTTAATATTTATTTATCTAACACGGCATTGCGTTTAACTCTATATCATTTAATATAAAAAGAAAGCATTTGTATTCATCTACTGATAAGCTGATAATATAAACTATGTAAATATTGTGATTTCTTCTGATGCTCTGGCATAGCTTAAATTACATTTTATTTAAGGGGATAGAATAATGTACGTACGAAATAAAAAAAAAGTATTGTACAATATAATATAAAATGATCTTTGTTCCTTCAGATATAAAGATGTATGATGCCTGATTGTGTCTTGATATCTATTGATAATATGTAATATCTATTGATATTATATATATGTATATACTAATTAACAACATATGATATATATAACTATACATGCATTTACAAGTATCTCACAAATTTATTTGATTGTGACTAAGTATACTACATTGGTAGAAAGATACAATGATACAAACTCGAATAGATGAATTCTATAAAGTTACATGCAGCAGTAGACAATCTAAAAATCTAAAAAATAATGTAGAAGATTTGTCTACCTTGAAAAGTTTTGTAATTGATAAAATAGTAAGTTAATTATAATTTATTTCTTATGATGAATATAACGACAAATATATATCAATCGTAACTAATATCAATATTTTCTGTTGCCAAATAGAAGAAAGATATATTATCACAAGAATCAGGAACTGTTCATAAAAACAAAAGGATAAGAGCATCTAGGACAAAAAGGAAACACATATTGCAAAAAATGAACGTTAAAGAAACACATATTGAAAAAATGAATATTCCAACAAATATTGGCATAGAAACTAAAACAACGATATCACCAGTCGTAAATCTGACTGTACACACTAAAAGTCCTATGAAGAGTCCTGGATTGTCATCAAAATTTAATCCAAAAACATCTTCTCCAATAAAGCAATTATTGGACATAAAATCTCCAAGAAGCTTAAATATGGTGCGAAGAAACTTATTTAGTGATAAAATGGAAGAACTCATGTCTATAGCAATAGATAACTTCAATCTGGCCAAAGAAGGAGCTATTGCTGACAATAATATCGACATAGAGAAGATTTACTCAAGCAAAAAGTACAACTACGAATATAATAAGATAGACACGACAACCTCAATGAGATATGAGTTCAACGATATAATAATACCAAATGAAACTTACTCACGACATTTCTTTTTAATTGTCGCGAGTGTATTTTCTAAACCGTTCAATTGCGGATACTTCGACAAAGACGAATTGGACTTGATATTCTCCTTACTGACAATTTCAAGAAAAGCACAAGAATTATTAATACGCATGTTGAAAAGAAAACACACATGGCACAGAGTGGACAATATCAAATACGAAAACATAGCTGCGAATTTAAAGCCCGTATTCGACGAACTTGTGTCGCAAGGTATTTTTAAAAGTAACACGAAAGAAGAAGATGTGGCTGTTCTGCTGAAATTGCTGCAAGTCGATGAAATTCGTAAGCTTTGTCACGAATATAAGATCAAAGCCAGCGGCAAAAAGGAGAAGTACATAGAGTCGTTGATGAAGCTCCATGCCAAAGCAAAACCATTGTTTCCCGGAATGCCAAGTCCAGCCATCAAGTTGCGTGCTTCAATCAACAGAGCTTTAGGCTACTGCATATTAATAAACACCAGAGTGAGCGAGGTGGTTAATAGAATAATTAGTTTATTCATCCCTAATCAAGATCCTCAGCAGACTATGGCGGATTTATTCCAAATATTATTAAAAGTTGAAATGAAAGAGATAAAGTTCCCAGAAGTAACCATTTGTGACTTTCCTATTTTCGCCAATAAGAAGCACCTGTTGAAGTAAGTATCATAATCATATCATGCTTTGTAATTTGCAGTGCATTATGTTCTTAATGTGGATTTTACTTTACAGTTATATAGAGGCTAAAGGCGCACTATGTAATGTGTTGAATGCGATTGAAAAGAAACAATGGGAGCTCGTACGGCAAATTGGATCGCAAGCTGTGGAACGTCTACCGCTTCTCTTACAAGCAGAAAAACAAAGGTAACAGACGATATGTTTGATATGTTTGTGGCTGAAATTATCTGAAAAGATCTACAAGTTGCCTTGTATTTGTTTACAGTTTGGAGGACTGCACATTGCCTGATCACATCAGACACTTTATGCCGGGATACATGTGGCTCAAAGTTCTCGATAAAAGTGTAGATGCGTTTAAAAAAACCAAAGAAACCTTGCCGCAAGCTATAGAATCTTTACGCATATTAGTAAAACAAAAGTGCCATATGAAACATAAGAAAGGACGGTGGTACATGGAATTGATCAAAATAGAAGTTTATCATATGAAAAATCCCAACACTAGCGTCAGACTTCTCTTAAAGGCAGTCAGACAGAATAGTTTAACGGAAGTCGACAGATTGAATCTGTTGGAGAAAGCGGAGAACCTCGCGAAAAGAAAATCCAATATTAGCCAGCATGCGAAAGACACTGTTAAACAAATAATAGAGGAAAAGCTTAGTGAAACACGATTAAAATCTCAACCAAATTCTGTTACAATAGAAGGAGAATTGTGCGGGTAAGTTGTGCGACAAATCTACCTCAATTCTCTTAGGAAAAGAAAATAAATAAGGATGTCGACGTCTTTTCAGAAATGTCTTGCAGAGAAAGAGTAACTGGTGTATCAGTAATGGAACAGACAAAATATATGGTACGGTTGAAGATCTAGCGCTGTACTATTACAAGAACAGGGGATACATCAAGGGTGTACATTGCGAGGGTGCTCTTCCAATTACCCTATTTGGCACCTTATTCTGGGACGAAATTTATAACGTGGAAATTCCTGGCGCTTACGTGTCGTCATATGAACCCACACCGTTGGATTTATTTTCATCGGAATTTTATGAGAATAGAAAAGAGCAGATCGACATGAAGCTCCAAATTATTCGGAAATTTGACGTGGATAGTTTTAGCGCCTATTTGAAGCATCAGTTTGATTTGCATTGTGAATATATGTCTATCTGTCAGGGTAGTATTTTTGACAATAGCAGCAACATCCAGGTGAGCAGTTAATCTTGATGTTTATATGACGTCAATGTAATTATGTGTTATCTTTGTTTATAGGAAGTGGCGCTCTGTTTAGGAGTGGAGGGTGTTGTTGGAATCTGCGAACGACTCATTCAAAACTACACACTCTGGAGAGCTGGCTTTCCAGATTTAATCGTATGGAATCCGCACAATAAACAGGTAAATCTATTTCTTTATTTACAATTCGAGAAGAGATCAAATAGATTATTATATAAATCAAGTTACATTATGTTATATAATAAATGTATTTAATTGTAATTTCATATACTTCGTTTCCTTTCAGTATAAAATTGTAGAAGTGAAAGGTCCTGGTGATTCACTCTCCACTAAACAAAAGTTATGGTTGCAATATTTGAATCGACTCGGACTGAATACGGAAGTGTGCTACTGTGAAGTAAGTAGTATTTGACATTAAAAGAACTTAGCTACTAAGCTGGAATATTGTATATTTGTGTTTTTCACGGAGCCAAAGCTTCTGTTATAGTAGTAGTACAAGGGCCTTGAAAGTGATATCTGTAAAACAAAAATTACTCTTAAAAATAATTTAAAAAGCTCTTAACCTTTTGTTAACTGACTAATTTACAAGTGATATGTATAACGTATTTTTTTTCTGTTACAGTCCAACTCCAAAGGACGCAAAAGAAAGCATGAAACGTAATATTTAATAGAAAGACATATTCTAACGCCCGTGTATATAAATATAATAATATAAAAATAATCTTTCTCTCTCATATAGATTATGTGATATTTTGTACTTATATTTATAAATTTTTATATTCTTAATATCAAAGTTTTGAAAGTTTTAACATGTATATGTGTGATTTCGATGAATGCTTGATTCGAATGATTCGTGCCAAGAACGAAAAAGAGTCAATTTGAAGAACACTTACTGAACTTGCTTCGTGGCCGGTGTTTCTTCTATATTGAACTCTGCGACTGGTACGTTACGTTGTGCCACTTGCGGCGCGAACATTGCGGCCGGGTAAACTATTGCCGAGGTTCCAATTACCAGGCAAGCATCACAAGTCTCAACAAGGTCAACTATGACATTCCAAGAGAAATCATCAATTAGAATGAGTATATTTGTTTTTTGCGTGCTATTCGTTTTATCTGTATTAAATTTTTTTGTTTTATATATAATCAAAAAGTGAGAATGAGTAAATTATTTATTTAACGTTTTGTGTCATATAAAGATTTTTCGTTTTTAATCGAAGTCTATCCACATTTGCGCCGAGTTACCTTTCCATATATTGTGATCAAAGTATCTTTCTATATTTTGTTAAATCATATTTGTTAAATAGTTAAATATGGAAAGTATCTTTCCACATTTTCGTGAGATTATATACTTGTTAAATAAAATTACATACAAGCTTTCTGCAGTACATTTTCATTTAGATTTTCCCCAAACCAGACGATATCGGGTCGCAGCAGTGCGCTGCAATTCGTGACTTCGCAACGTGGCAATTCTTCTACTGGTATGTCAGAAGACATAATACCCGGGTCAGGCGATCTGTTCAGACGCGTTAACATCAAGTCGGCATGAGAAAACTCGCGATATTCACATGTAAGTGTCACACATATTATTGATTGCTTTCAGAAAACACAAAGGTTGAATGAACGCTCATTATCGTTGGGATATTCTTCTACATACAATATGAATCTAAAACAATACTTCAATCAAAGACGATAATCATTTAATGGTTGCACAACCATTAGTTTTGTTTTCTGGCAAGTCCCTTCCCAAATAGCACAAAGAATTAAAAAAGATTCTAGTCGTATGTCACCAATTCTGATGGATGTTTAAAAAATAGCTACTTAAAAATTAATTAATTAATTAAGAGAAGTTTATATTTCTATTTAACTTTTAGAATCCTGATGCAAATTTATAAATGTTATTTCCTGAACAAGTAGGAGTCCACATAATTCTTTGACACTCTTTCTAGTAAACACCAACTATCAATAACATGGAACAGTAACATTACATAAAATTTAGTCTTAGAATTTCAAATGCAAAAAGAATTCTTCAGAGTTCAATGAGAAGAATTCTTTTTGCATCTAAAAATAAACATAAATTGGTGACATATGACTGAATTCTTCTTTTTGGATTCTTTGTGCTATCTTGGTTTGTATTTCATTATTCACCACCACATGCAACAGAATTTTCAGAAGGTGTACCCTTTCCCTTCCAACGATGAGCAGATGGGAATATTTTCATTGATAGAGATATTGTGGCACTTGGTGCAGCGTGTCCTGTAGAGGGAACCGTGCAGCTCCACCACATCTTTTGCTCCACCTTTTTGATGCAGCCCATCGATATTCTGTGTCACGATCGACACTTTCTTTCCCTCCGCTGCTTTGCGCTTCTGAAATTCCGCCACGGCTATATGCGCCTGAGGAAAAAGATGAGTTTATTTCATGGCTAAGTAGTTACGTGTGAAATATTCTGTGTGCAGACAAAATGTAAACTATGTGTGAGATGTTATCTATGTAAACAGTAAGTAATTTATAGGTGTTTAAAAAACATAGCTACTTAAACATTAATTAAGAGAAGTTTATATTTTTATTTAACTTTTAGAATTCTGATGCAAATTTATGAATGTTATTTCCTGGACAAGTCGGAGCTCATATAATTCTCTGACATTCTTTCTAGTAAACACCAACTATCAATAATATGGAACAGTAACATTGCATAAGATTTAGTCTTAGAATTTTAAACCTAAATCGATATGAATTAATAGAATTGTTCTTTTTCAAAGAACTTTCTGAACTGAGGTGTACCGATACAATAAGTTAGAGTGAAACAAGTGTATTTTGTTTCAATCTAACTTAATGCATCAGAAACTTACAAGAAATTCTTTATATCAGAACGAACCTAATAATTATTGATGCACATTGAGAAGTTCAGACTGAACGTAATGCAATTTTATCGTTTTGCATCCATCACTTTAAGTAAGAACTTGTTTCCTTCGATTCATAAGTTACATTACCTTGTTTGGTTTAACTTTGCTGACTAATTGTCTGCGATACTCGTAGAATTCCCAAACCAACGACGGGTTCGCCGCGAAGGCTTCCGGCGTGGCGAGATTTGGCGCTTGATATCTGCGCCAAAATCCGCCGGCACCGCGGAAAGTTGGCACACCGGATTCCGCGGAGATACCGCTACCGGTTAAGATTAGGATGTTATTCGCGTTCGAAAGTACCTCGCGAAACGACTTCATGATGTTATGCATGAGCTTTCCTGTGTAATAATACACGTGATCACGAAACCGCAAGTAATCACGTCCTAAAATGCCAGTAATCACTGACAATGATGTATTTGTTATGCTGATCAGCTGACGAACAGCTGACGTATCACTCGGACTTCGACAGTCGATCCGCTGAGTTTGGAACGGCTGACTGCAAGTCTCATTCTCCAATTGATCATCTCGATCTTGCGATTTTTATTATTTTTAACACTCGCTGTTGAATTTCGAATATCGGATATGTATATTTATGTGTATCTAACCTAATCCTAACTTTAAGCTGTCACGCTACATCTAACCTATAATACGTGAAGTAAGCCTAGTAAGTTTCGAACGTGTTCAGACGTAATTTTTTGGATATACTTTGGAAAAAAGAAGATAGAATGATGCTTTTTCAGCACGAAAGCGTGCAAGATGAACTTGTCTGTCTTTTATTTTGTGAAAGCATCGAGCATCATTCCGCTTCTTTTAACATTCAGTGAGAAACGAAAATGAAATTATATTCGCGTCAAAAAAACCGCCAATAGTCATAGTATCGAATTTGCACCATCGATAGAATAATCGATTTTTTCACTGAAGAAAGAATCGCATATCGATATATCGATCGATCATAAACCACCTAGAGAGAGAGAGAGAGAAAGAGTGATTGGAACCACTATTGAGAAAGAAAAAGAGAAATCCCTAACCTATAAATCTTGAAGTTCAGTAGATCAGAGTGTTGCTGCTACACGTAGCGAACGTACGACTGAAATAATAATATAAATATGCGATAAATATTTCACGAGAAGGTGCACGATGCAACGGGACGAAAAGCATTTGGATTCGGCTTTGGAGGCCATCATAATGCGAGTGAACGATTTGAAAAACGCCATCGCCGCGATGGTATTCAAACTGGAACACGAGTACGAGACTTTGAATTGGCCCAATTTCCTCGATAATTACGCCTTAATTTCGGGTCACGTAAGTAATCAGTTTCGTCGACGATCAAATAATTAAATAGTCTTTAGTTGTTCGTTTTACGTGTATTCAATCGGTATTTTATACCCCTTCATGTTGTGATCGTACTATTTACACAGCTGACCAGTCTCTCGAAAATTCTCGCGCCCGACAAAGCACCGAATCTCAGAAATTATACGGTTCTACCACTGCGCCTAAGTCCGGAGAAGGATGAGGAGTTGTTGAGGTTGACAGAAGGTAGAATCCCTACATTTGCACACGACTTGGTGCCAGACTATCTGAGAACGAAACTAGAGCCTCAAGCTGAGCAGAAGATGATGCAATTCGAAGCTAAAGCGAATGTCAACAATGATGTCTCACATGTAAGATGTGCCTGTTTTATTCTATATTTATGTCCCTGCCTTTATCTTTGTATTCTTCCTCGATATATACAAAAGTTATTCTCGAAGATACTTGTGATACTTATGAGTATTAGATTGTTATCTTGGCATATAATAATCAATATTGGTGTTAAGTTGATATAGGTAAGAAGGTTTTCAAATCGATCACAATTAAGTATGTATGTAGTACCCGTTAAGATAGACACGTATAGTTAACTGAAGATGTTCTATTTTTCTGTTAACGTGCTAACTAAACAACAACTAGGACTACAATGTAAGCTACTAATCAGCTAGCCTCAGCTTTATCGGTTCCATTCGCTCTGGGTTGAGATCGATGTTGTGTCACAAGCCTACTTGATAGCTACGTAAATCTAACCGTTGATCCAACTGCATTGACGTTTTACGTCTGAGTTTGAATTCGCTATGCAGTCAGAGATTCTCGAGTCGGTCCATTTAGCGAGTGGAACACGCAGATTCTGCCGTGTGCTGAATTTTTATATGTGCTCCCGTTGGGTTTCAGAAACAACTGATGCAGTATACAAAGGTGGTCGGCCATGTGTGGGACATGGCGAACAAAGCGCGCGAAGAATGGGAGAGTGAGGCTGGTGCCAGAGCGACGCAAGCACAGACCAACAGTGCTGCGGACACCCATACTCTCGTGGCCGCTATAGGGACGGGTAAAGGTTTGAAAGTAAGTTACAATCAAAGAGAAAAATGAAATATAAGACATACACATACAAACAGAAAAATATCATTCCACTGCTAAGGAAAGCAATTACTCAGTTTACTTTCCTTCTTTTAAGTAATGGTTATTTCTAACAAAAGATATTTTCTTGACAATTGCCTTAAAATATACTCATCGCAAATTTGAGAAAAGCTCATTATCGTGCATTCAAAAGAATTTGATCTCTTTATAAGAATACTGTAAAATGTTATCAAAGAAAAATTTGATTCGACTTTAAATAGTAAGCAAGTTGAATTCTTGTTTTAACTTAATATTCTTAAATGCTGAACCCACTAGAATTTAAAATATGCATCGAACAAATTGGATGCTTATGATGAATCGTATATAAATGATAGATTATATAAACGTATGAAAATACTTGGAACAAGTAACGTTTACTTGAATGCAGTATATATTTCTCTGTATGTACAGTTAAATTCGTGGAGATTCCGTTCTTTTCCGTTGCGTCTCTACAATGCTTGACTGTTCTAATTTACTGTCTACGTTTTCGCGTTTATAGTCTGACATACAAATGGTTCAATCGGGCGTAAATGCAGTGGCTAATAGCATGATGGTGGGTAGACCTGGAAACCAACAGCAAACACCAGGACAAGGGCCCCTAGGCAATCCATCGTGTAAGTGTTCTTCTAGAAATTTCTGTTTTTTTCGATGACAATAATGCATTTAAAATAACTCCAATTGATAATTTACAGTGGGACAAATAAGCAAGGCGCCCAGTGCGATAAAAACGAATATCAAAGCAGCATCGCAAATCCACCCTTACAGATAAGTATAAGATATCAGTATAAGATGTCTATATAATAATCGATAGTGCACGCGAGCACTGAAAAAAATATAAGATATTCAAATAATATAATATAAACATTAAACGTCACAGAATGTTGTATTATATCGTCGATTGTGTGTAATCTTTTTCGTAAAAAAGATTATGTAAATATATGCAATATTTTGAATAATGATATTTTCAAAATGTGTATTCGGTCGTTTTATAAATATTCGTATAAAATAAGTGTGATACATTTTAATTCGCGCAGAAAAGAGATATCAAGCTGTGGCAAATAATTTTCAGCATTTATGAGATACAATCGCGTGTGAACGAGGAGACAAACGCTTGTTCATCACAGGCACAATGACCGCTTCCAAACCTTGCTCGTGTAACCAACACAGACGATCCTGTAAAACCAACGACTCCGCCGGGAGTTGCAACATCATTTGCAGTCCGGTATAAATCTCTACAGCTCTCAGTCTTTTATTCTGATTTTCCCATACTCGCGTGATGCCGTTTTCCAGTTCATCGTACGCGGTTAAGATACCTTTACACGTAAAAATCTTGTGTAAACTATTTAATTCTCCCCAAGAACCGATTATATCTCGTCATTGACTTGTATCTCTCACCTGTTAGATCCATGTCCGTTCTTGGCGCTAGATCGTATCTCAACAGCGAATCCTTAACGTAAGTTTGGAAATCCATGCACTGTGATTTCCTCGTGCCTTTCCGTACTTTTTTCCTTAGAACGAGATTATCTGGAAGGTGTCCTTCGCGATTAATTGATCTCACTGTTATCGAGTATTACAGTATAATCACTGTCCAATACCTACTCTGTTGCGAATACAACTCGAGCACAGCTCTGGCGAGAACGTGAAAGGAGTGTTCGTCGTGCTTCTCCCCGGACATATCGCGCCACTTGTCCACCGACTCCTGACACGCCAGTCGCAGGAAAGGCACCCTCAGAAATTGTCCCACGTCAAAATTGTACGTCGTTATGACTTCTCGCAGACAATTGGACATTGGAAAGTTGCGAAAGTACTGTTTCTCCTGCAACGAAGTCCGCACGCTCTCGGAAATGGAGAGTTTGTGGTAACAGCAGGAAATGAGGATGAAGAGTTTCGCGGATTTCATCCTGCGAAAGATTCTTGATGCGCTCGTGCTGAGGTCACCGCAAGCGTGCAGACCGATTAAACACGCGGCCGTTGTGTCGGGAAACTCCTGCTGTAAAATGAATTCTATCTTATCAGCGGAATCGCACGTCACATCGCAACTGATGTATTTAACGTTGCTCAGAGACTCAGGATACGTTATTTGTTGCCTAGCGCAGGCTCTGTTCACATTTTCCTCGTCCTTTTCCAATCCTAGAACCCGGTAGCCGTATAGATAATATAACATCTGGCAGACGTATCCCTGGAAAAATATTGACGTAAGCATTTTTAAGTCGATTTTCACAAACTTATTTTCTTTCTTTATGTTATTGTTTTGTTACCAGGCCGGCGCCCAAATCGATGATCGTTTGGATATCGTGTGGCTTACATTGCGCGTGCACTAAGCGAGCTAAATGAATAATTTCGTGTTGTTTCTTTCGGCTGAGACCTATTTTGAAGTTTTGCGGCAATTCTATGGAAGGTAACGTAAGCGCAGACAATAATCTGTTGGTTTTTGTGCAATGATTAACGTAGGCTTTCAAGGAATCCGGCCATTCCGACTAAAACATAACGGAATAGTGAATATTTATCACGTAATTCAATGTCTACCTTTTTTTATCTTTTGACAAACCTTTGTTGTTTTATTCACTACAAAATTATTAAGCTCGTCGTTCTGTAAAATTTGCAAATGCTTCATCCATTCTTCGGGGATTGCATCCAGACATCCTTGAGTTAGTATCTCAGTTACCGGTACATTATGAAGCCATTGAGTTTCATAAAATAAACGTAACGCCTCGAGAAAGTATTTCTTTTCAGCATTGATATCCATACATGTATCTAAATAAAAATATAAACCGCAAATAAATAATCTAATAAATAATAAATCCAGATAAATAAAACTTATAATATATATATGTGTTACATCATTTTTATAAATCATACATTAAATTTATAAACGTACAACTCTCAGTAAGTAAGTAGAGGAATTAGAAATTAATTCAGCAATATAAAATTATTTCTCATCCCTTTCATCGGGATATATTTAATATACAAAATAACATAAATTACAACTTTTCATTAATAAATATCCGATATTTCCAGATAATGTATACGCTCTTTTTTCGACTTTTAATACTCGTAGGAGATGACGGTACGCATAACAATGTGTGCCGACTTGCTTACAGTCTAATATAAAGTGTCTCTTCAATATTGAAGTAAGAAAAACAATATCTCAATGTCTATCTATTCGGTAGCTCGTGCTTGATCAGCCTCCTCTTGATTCAACACCAGCCAGTTCTCCGAATGTCTATTTAAGATATCGGTATTCGGGGGTCCGATGAGCGAACGACCGACTCTAATGTCGCTTTGACCTGGCTTCAAGTACCTCTCGGCCACACGCAAGATCTGCTCCTTGGTCACAGCCTTCAGTTGCTCTCTCTGCCGTTGAAGATCGTCGTCCGTTACGCCATGGGTGAATTTGGTGATACCTCGATTGCTAGGCGAAATAGGAGCGTCGATCTGCTGGAAGATTCCTAGCTTCGCCTCATCCAGATCGCTCTGCGGCAACGGATGTTTCGACAGGAAGTCGTACGCCTGGTCGAACAGATCGAAGGTCCGGGTGGAGTTCGGGTCTCTGTACGAGTAAAAGGAGAAGATCCCCTCGGACGTTAATTTCGCGCCGCCGCCGTAAGCACCGCCCTTCTCGCGAATCTCCGGGTGCAGGTACAGAGATGAGATCAACTTGGAGAGCACACGCAGTACCGCGTAATCCGGATGCGTGTAGGGCACAGTCAGAATGGCTTTCGAGCAGTAGTTCACTGTGTACGGCAGCACATGATGATTGGCGCTTTCATACATCTCGGCGTTCTGGTCCTCGGTAATGACGAGTGCATTCGTTGGATGACCCTTTAACGAATCGTAGAACGCGCGAATACCCTCCAGAACGTCGTCCTTGCGCTCCTGGGACAAGTTGATGACCGATCGCAGATGTTGCTTGCTCAACACGTGACTCGCTATCTCCTGCATGCTATGCATCAAGGGAGCCAGGTCGCGTGTCTGCGCTATCCCCTTCATCCTGGATACGTAACGCAGCCCGGACAAGCTCTCCTTGGCCCGTGCGATCGGCGAGACCAGACTGGCGGCGCTGCTCATCGCGTACATGTGACCGGCGTGCGAGATACCGTTGATCAGATTGGCCGCGTTCATCTTCACGAGCGTCTCGAATCGCTTAGAGTCGGCGAGCTGGACGTCGTTGAACAACTCGGTCCACAGCCGCCACATGTCGGTCGAATTGCGATCCAGACAATACGACTCCACGAGCACACCCTCCTCGTACTTCAGCTCGCTCTCCTTATGCTCGGCAACGTGGTTCATGAAATTCAGCCCGCCGGTCTTCAGCTGCACCATCTGATCGAAAGTACGATAGTCGTGATTTCGCGTGCCCATCTTCGCGACTACATAGTTGAACAGCGGTAGGAGCTTCTTCAGCTCGTTCGGCAACGCCCGCGTGTTTAGGATCCCGCGGTAGTAAGAGATCCCGTTCGTCGGCTGTATCGACAATTGCAGCGGCACTCCAGATATCTGCAGGTTCGATGTCTCGTATCTCTCCACGTCGACCTTCAAATCCTCTATTTTCAGGGTCGGCAAAACTCCGACGTCCTCTTTCTTCTGTTGTTCAGCTAGTAAAATCTTACCGTCCGCGTATAGCTGCTTCTTTTCTTCCTCGGTGAGTTCCTCCAACTTCGTCTTAAGTAACTTTTGCTCGGCGACCGCTTTATTCTGCTCGTACTTCTCGTCGGGTGACATCGTTAACGTTAATCTATGCTTGTTGTTCTTCAGGTAAATCTCGATTAAGTTCTGCAAATACTGAGGGTCTTCTTTCATTTGCGACGTGAGTTCCTTAACGGCGTTGTTGATTCTCAGCGCCTGTATCAGATTGCCGTTGTGATTCCACAGGGATGTTAGATTAAACAACAAGTTCAGTCCGAAGTTCGACGTCTGGTGCTTTGTCGCAATCTCGATGCTATGCAAGACGGCCTCAACGTGATCCTTTTCGAAGCCTTCTTTGATAACTTTGTCTACAGTGTCGTCAAATATACTCTGCACCTTATCGAAATCCTCCGGCTTCACGCCCTGCAGGCTCACAACGAACATCGTGTCTTTGCACTGCGAATCGAAACCGGTAACCGGGCCGAAACCGGTGCTCACGTTCGACTCGACCAGAGACTTATAGAACGCAGAATTCGGGCCCTTCAGCAGCAGTTGCGAGAGTACGTACATCTCGAAAGTCGTTTGTATATCGGTGATATCGTTGCACAAGTACGCGATGGCGATGGTGCCGTGACGGCTGGGATCAGCGAGCAGCGGATCGGGCCTGCAGGCGATGTGCTCCTTTTTAACTTCCTTCCACCGCTTCTCCGGCGGCACTGCCGACATAGAGGCGTCTATTCGGTCAGACAGAAAGAGATACCGATCGTTGATGAACTTCAGATGATCCTCCAGCGGGAAATTCCCGTACGAGTAGAAGCGCGAGTTCGAGGCGTGGTAGTACTTCTGATGGAAATTGAGCAGATCGCTGTACCGCAGACTGGGTATGACGAGAGGATCGCCGCCGGAGATCACCGAGTACGTGTGGCTCGGTAGAATAGAATTCAACATATGTTCGGCTAAGATGGCTTGATTGTCATTGAAGACGCCCTTCATCTCGTTGAAAACCACACCCTTAAATATGATGGCTGAGTTCTTGTCGTTGACGTCCGTGTGTTCCAATCTCCAGCCTTCCTGACGGAAATCCAGTTCTCTCAAATTCGGCTTGAAGACCGAATCCAAGTAGACCGATTGCAGATTGCGGTAGTCCTTCAGGTTTTGCGTCGAAAAAGGATATATGGTGTAGTCTGGTCCCGTCATAGCGTTCATAAACGTCGCCAAGGATCTTCTCAACATCTTGAAGAACGGATCTCTGCAGGGATACCTCTCGCTACCGCACAGAGTGGTGTGCTCCAATATGTGAGGTAAGCCAGTGGAATCCATAGGAGTCGTGCGGAATCCGATGGAGAACACATTGTTCGCGTCATCTCTCGCCAAGTGCAGATACTGCGCGCCTGTGCTCAAGTGTGACAATCTGATTGCAGTGAGAAACAACTCGTCTATCCTGGAAACCTCATCCACTATGAATCCATGGAGAATTTCGCCCTTCTTAAATTTGTCTAACTTATCTTCTATAGGTTTCTTCTTTGAATGTAGGGTGCTTGATCTAACATTTGCTGACGAGTAAAAAGTATGATGTTTGTATTGCTGCAAAGTGGTGCTCCTTAAAAAAGAACTGCGTGATAATTTCAAAAGTCTCAGCATCTTGGAGCAGTCTTGTGCATGAAATAGCAGAGAACAATGGAGTTATACCTGAAAATAATATAAAGCAGTATGTCAATTATATAATTCAAGACACCAAGCTAATTGTACAGTTTAAAATTTAGATATGTATTAATAACATCATATAGACACACAATGGCTGTGTTCAGTAGAGAAAACTGCAGATGTTGTAAGGCAGCTTTCTTTGCTGAGTGCAACCAATATTTATGAAGATGTTGGTATACTTACCTCTCATATATATTTGCAAATGAATTTAAATTATATATGAAACACGATTATAGTGAATAAAATTCTTGACAGATAACTCACTTTAAGGTATTATATCACATTAGTCCCAATATTGAAAGGAAAGAGGAAAAATATTTGCACGGATTATGTGGAAAAAGATATTAATTACAGAAATAACGTCAAACTAGCAAATATTCTGGGAGATTTATCGGAAATACTAGTTAGTGAATAACTATAAAATAATTTTTAATGACGCAATACATCTACAGCATACAGTAATAATAAGCAAAACGCCGGTCATCACCGAAATGTGATGAGAGAAATAACCTAAAAATCAAAACTGATATAAATAATCTCACCTATTCTTGAGATTAATTTACAAGATATAGCAACGATTGGCACACGATGTCCTTTTTTATTGCAGAATCACTTGCCAATTATCCTGTTTGCTCACTAATTAGCGTGATACTATTTGAACATAACTAATCGTCTATCTCGCCATTGAGTTGTACTACTCGAGAGTAATATGTCCGTCTGTCATCAAATCGTTGCCAACTTTAAAGATAATAGAATTTATCGTATTTGCTAAAGTTGTTTTCCTGCGAGAAACACAGCCATTTCATTGGCTGCGTATCATCACAAAGAGTGCGGTCCAAGATCCGCTACAAATGCTGCGCAGCATTTTTCCCTCTTATTCTATTCTTCGGATTGGAATGAAGAAAGAGAAAGAGGTAAAAACACTACAAAGCATTTGCAGCGCCCGCTGGACCAAAATAACATGAAGCTTCGCGCGAAGAATTCAAACAAATTCAAAAGTTGAAGTGACATTCTCACATTATCATATTTCACTATTTTGCTTAAAAAATGTGATGTAGAAATAATCAAGATATATACCTATATTATATTGTATAAAAATTATACAATTAAAACATTATATTTATACATTTAAAAATTATACAATTAAAATTATATATTATATTGTATAAAAATTATACAATAAAATTTATGAGAAACATCATTTATTATTATCAAATAACTTCCTTTTATAATTACATACATATACAGCGATTGATAAACTGTGATTCAGGGAATGAAGACATTTCAGTAACTAACAATACATTCAAAGCAAAACTTTTCTAGCTTACGCTAGAAAACTAAAGTTATTGATAATTCATATCTAGCGGATACAAGAACATTCGAACTCACATTCCTCAAATTCCAAAACAGGACGATTATGACAATATATCTGATTGATAAACGCATAAAACACAAATCATATGTATTTACGTATGTATATATTTTACTTTATTGCTCGAAAGTATTTTGCAAGTAATTTTAAAGTTATTTTTAATTAAGAGCGGTTAATCGAAGTCCCGCAGGTCTTATGAAATTGACGATCTTAAGACTGATCACTAATCACACAGGTGAACGGGAGAGGCAATAGGAAGAAAGTGGAACCCTTGAAAATCGCCTCGAAAATGCAAGTACTTCCGGGCACAGTTTTTTACCTTGTACAAAACAAATAATTAAAATTTTTATTGCTTTAAATACAGTCTTCACATGTGTGTTTGTGTATATATATGTATATATATTCTATATAAATAGTATATAACAAAATATATATATAAAACTATTTGATTTGACTCATTATATAACATCTCACATTTTTTGTTCTCATTACCATACACTACTATTACACGGCACGACTATTATATGGCTGAATAATTATACGGTATGACCGTAGTGCGTAAGCAGATTGAAGCAAGAAGTTCTGCGCAACACAAGTTTCGCGCAAGATCTGATCTTAGATTTACGATTGGCACGTATGGCATTACCGGTGCGATATACTGAGGTAAGAATCAAATCTCACTTTGGTGAAATCACGTTAGCACGACGTTGAAGGAGGATACCACAATGAAGAAGAAGTGCCTATGAGGTATACCTAGGTATTACCTAGAGAAACGAATAAGAATTCTACTCCGCAGAATATAAATCAGTCGTCGAACGACGATTGCGCTGGCTGTGGCGAGTTTCGCTTCAGCATTTTCAGCACGTCGGCGTAATTCGCGGTGAGCACGTCGGACATCTCCAGCTCCAACTGCCGTAGCGGCGTCATGTCGTGGCGATTGCGAGCGTCGACGTTCGCGCCGTGCCTGAGCAGCAAGCCGACGAGTTTCGCGTTGCCGGCTTGGCTCACCAGATGCAAGGACGTGTTGCCGTCGTAGTCCTGCGCGTCCACGTAACAGGTTGCACAGTTCAGCAGCAGCTTCACCAAGTCGATGTTACCGTTCAGGCAAGCCAGGTGTAGCGGCGTGCGGCCTTCAGACGCGGTAGTCACGTTAACGTTCGCCCCGGCGTCCAGCAATAACCGCACCATATCGGTGCGGCCGGTCGCCGAGGCGACGTGCAGCGCTGTCTCGCCGAGGCTGTTGCAGCTGTTGATCGCGAGCGCACGTCTTCGTTTGCAGCGCTCCAACAGCGTCTCGCCGATCGCCGAGCAGCGCTCACAGTCGCACAGCGGATGACACATGCCGCTGACCGCGCAGCGCACGTCCGGCAGGCGCTCGTGGTAAACCTCCAAGCCCAGGTAGTAGCAGGCCAGGCATGTGTCGCCCTCGACGATGGCGGCGAGCAGCCGGTCTATCGCGCGATGTTCAGCGTGCGGCGCGCCGCTCTGGCTCTGTTTCTGCGTGCTTTGGGACAAGGCCGCGCGTCGGGGATGCAAGGAGTCAGTATAGATGTTGGCGTAATACTCGAGCAGCTTGCTGATGTACGTGCTGTACGTTACTGTCAACGGCGTCTGACCCTTCCGATTGGTCAATTTGCAGTTTGCCCCACACTCTAAGAGGACACGCACGATCGCGACGTAGCCCCACTTGGCCGCGAGATGCAGCGCCGTATCGCCGTTGTCGTTCGCGGCATTTACGTCCACCGGCACCTTCATCTGTTCCGACAGATACAGCAACGCCTTCACGCAGCTCTCGTGGCCGCGCTCCGTGGCACAATGCAGCGGCGTGTTGCCAGCGGAATCAGTCACCGTAGGATCCGCACTCGCGTGCAGTATGTGCAGCAGGATGCCTTGGTGGCCGCAGATGCAGGCGTGATGGAGCGCCGTCAGTCCGTCGACGTCTGCGATGTTGATGTCCGTTTCGTGGTCGAGCAGGTAGTCCACGATCGCGGTCTGATTGCACAGCACCGCCATGTGCAACGGAGTGAGTCCTCGGTCGTCTTTAAAATACGTCTTCAAATCCCGTTGGTGCGCCCAGTTTCGCTCACAGGACGCGCACGTACACAGGGGATGGCACAGCGCGACGTCACGATGCTGCTTGGGCGATTCGTTGCGAGTTAAAATCCTTTCGACTTCGGCCAACTCGCCCTTCTCGATGCACACGAATAAGCGCTCGACAGACGGCTGTTCCGAGGTCTCATTACGCGCAGTGAGCATGTCAATGCATTCCTTCTTCTTGGACTCGGGACACGGGATATTTCTCGAAATTGTCCCAGACTTGACGTGCTCAATCGCGGCTTCCAGTGACGTGATCAAGAAGCTGCCCTCGTCCGTCTCGTGAACGGATTTCGCGGAGAAACGAAATTGCTGCATGAAAGCCAGCTGCGCTGTCCAGTTCGACAGTCCCGCCTTGATGACGAGGTATACGAGCACCGGCAGAAGATCGTCCGACGAAACGACGGACGTGGTGCCGCGAGACACGTGATTCACGGTCCGCCTGAGGCACTCAATTTTACCCAGCACAGTCACGAAGCAATCCAGTCGCGATAGCTCGAGTCTTCCACCGTCGACGCGCGACTGCAAATCTGAGCGTATCAGGAGATCCTCCAGTCGTATCTCGCTCAAATTCCTCGTGATTTTGTTCAAGGCCGCATCCTCAGCAGCGGTGCCAGCAGACAACGATTTTAGCAGCACGTGCCGCAATATATACAAAATGTAAGTCTCTAATGACACTCGTATGCTCCAATAATAGTGTCTACTGCTCAATACCTTCTCCCGGGAAGCAGCGTTCTCGAGCAGTATCCTGAGGCAATCTGTGTATAAACTATATACCAGGTCTCGCTGTGTCTGTACCGGCATGCAATTCAGGTCCTTATTAACGTACAAGAAGTCCTTGATCTTGGTCTCAAAGTCACTGCACAGTTCTTTCTCCAGCAGTTCCATTTGGAGAAAATTCACAGCTTCCTGGAGATTAGTGATATTACTCATACAGCTGTCAGAAATACACATGCCGGTCTCCAATGGCTGCTCTATGCACCTGTGGAATACAATGATGTTCAACTAATCAGAATTTGACATTGAAACATGTGCTTACCATACGCAGTACTTTTGCAGATCGCTATTGTAAAAGGTTTCCTCGAAGAGCAAGCGTGTGGAATATTGTTGAGTATTGTGCTTGATGGTGAGGACCCTGTCTACAAGCAGGATCTCCTTGCCATCCAGGCTGTCGAATTGTGCAGTGAAGAGGTCCTGTCTAGGGATCAGTATGTGAGCGTTGATCTCGTGCATCTGGAACTCACGTTTGCTGAAGCTTCCACTGCGAGGAATGCAAACAATCCAACCCTCCTGGATAACCTGCTGCAACGTGGCTTCGTGTTGTTGCCTGAGCTCCCGTAGGAACTCGTTCTGCGATAAATCCTCGTCGTAATCCATGTTTACTGTTGACTGCCTCTTGATTACATTGTAAGAGCAGTTATCACTAATAACAATTCATCCAGATGATTCCCTTGCTTTCCGATGTCAGAAATGATGTTTTGACTCATTTAAGCTCAGCCAAAAAATTTGGAACATCCTTGCTCGATACCTGGTGAACGAAAATCATATCACGATATATTCTACGACGTCAAACTACCTGATAGTCGTTCACAATTATAGCTTCAGTATAATTTATGCGTTTCAGAAAAGATTCATGATCGATGTAAAGTACAGAAAAAACGAAGATAAGTTAGATCTGTCACTTTTATAAGATCCAAAGTCTCCGCTGCGAACCGTCATCTTTCTGTCGAAAATCGATTCATCGATCATCAATACATCGCTCATTTTGAAGTGAATTTTCAACAAATTTCGGTTCAATTAATCGATGTTTACAAATAATCAATGCCAATAGCAATTTTTAGCTACGCGCGTAATTTGCGTGCATGTAACAAATTCTATATACACAGATCTCCCATAATATTTTACATTTTCGGCTGGAGTATTTGACTCGTATTAAGACCGTCTTAAGTTTATCTTCAGATGCTTTGTAGCCAATAAAATCATCCGTAGGCCATTTAAAGATGAACTTAATAGATGGTCTCAAATATAAAATCCGACTATATACTGGCTGCTTTTCAATTGTTAAAACATCTTGACACACACGTATACAAAACCAGTTTTAGTCACATATTATCTAAAATATCTTGTAAAATAATATGCAACCCTTGCCTGTTCTGGCATTGTGCATAAAGCGTAACGTAGCTGGAAAGCACCCTCTATGTGAAACAAATGCTTTGGAAATAATCGCATTTAGTTTGTTCGTCTAGGTAGCTTTATGACTCCATGTTGTTATTAGTTATGACGAAATCTCGAAAAAGAAAGGAAATAACCGCCACCAATCTGGCGGGAATAGTTTCCTCACTTTTTTCGAGATTCAGTGTTTGTTAATTAACGTTGAGTCAACGATATGAGAGAGATGTTATCACTTTTAATCAACGATGTTCCGCGTGCTAAGTTGTGATAAGTGTCGAGTTAGAGAGTAACAGTGACAACGCAGTCACAAGAGAATTTGAACCCTTCACCGGCTACATTGTCTAAATACGACGTTAACACTTACCATTCGAGACATGGAAAATAATACAAAGAACGGAAAGAAGCGAAATACCGAGATCTCCAACGAGCATTCGGCTAAACGCTCCAAGAATACCGAGAATAGCAACAATGTGGAAGAGGTATTCTGAATAATATATTGAGCTTGTCTCATTGTTTTATACATAAATTTTTTATAAATTTTCCTTTATAAATTTTCCTTTATAAATGTAACTAAAACTCGAATAATTTTCTGCCTCCTAATCCTCTACTTTCAAAAACAAATAAACTCTAGTTAAATCCTGGTTAACTAACTAAGATGGTTGATATTAAATGATACCAAACAAATAAACAATATGTTTGATATGTTATTGAAATGCTTCTTTGTTATTTACTGCAGTGCACGGCTGGAAAAGTAAAAAAGATTCGCATTCGTAACTTCATGTGTCACGAAGCATTGGAGATAACACTAAATGAAAACGTTAACTTCATTGTGGGACGTAATGGCAGTGGTAAGAGTGCCATACTAACAGCGTTAACTGTAGGGCTTGGTGCAAGAGCTAATGTTACCAGCAGGGGAACCTCTGTGAAAGGTACAATTTTATTTTTAAAAATTTGCTTTGGTAATTATACAGTTTAGAGTTCTCACTCCCAATTTGGCTAAAATTCAACAATATTGTGTATTCTCACTATGTAGAAATTGAAATGTAAAAGTTAAAATCATTGCATTGTCCCACAAAACGAGATATTAATCAAAGTTAACAGGTATGGTAGGTTATGAAATCTGTCAGTGACAAAATATAGCGACATCAACATGTTCTGTGGTCACACATGCATGCAAAAAGTCAAAAAGTATGTGAATTTAAAACATTATTGAGTACAGAAGTTCAGGGAGCAAAGCAATTAAAAAGCTTTGTGGGACAAAGCAACAATTTTAGTTTTTATATTTGATATCTATATGTGAAAATACACAATATGAGTTGAGTTTCAGCCAAACCAGAGATGAGAACTCTAGACTATATAATTACTTTTACTTTTCTTTCCAATACATATATTTCAGATAATTCAATTGTATAAATTGCTTGTTATAAATTGCAGAATTTATTAAGAAAGGTCAGACATCTGCTACTGTTGAGATAACTTTAACAAATAAGGGAGATACAGCATACAAACATGAAATTTATGGTGATGTTATTACAGTCCTACGTACCATTGGATCTATATCAACATATAAAATGAAGAACTGGAGAGGTACAAAGATACATCTTATTTTTAATGCTTTAAATCAGCATATAGTGTTTACATTTGTAGAAAATGAAAGCAACATATATATATGTGTGTGTATATATATATATATTATTTATAGGAGAGGTTATTTCTACAAAACGAAATGAATTGGACAACATCATATCTAGCATGAATATACAAATTAATAATCCAATCTCTGTTCTGAATCAAGATGTGTCAAGAACATTTTTAGTCATGTCTAAACCTGAAGAAAAGTACAATCTGTTTATGAAAGCTACGCTTTTAGATGAAATTGAGAATAATTATGTAGAAGCTTTACAAATATGTGAGGAAGAAAATGAAAAATTGAAACAGTACAATGAGGTATACATATTATTCTCATTCTTGATATAATTATGTTTTACTGTAAAATGTCACATTCTTTTGTCATATTGCAGGCTTTGTCGCAAGTAAAGACAGAGATACAGAAATTAAAGGATAATATATGTAAAGTTGAGGAAATGGATGAGTCACGTGCTGAGATGATTAATCTGGAACAAAGAGAACTTCCATGGGCTATTGTAAGTCTAATGGTTATATTATGCAAATCTGTAACAAGCAGAGAAACTTGAGTAATGAACTTTAAGAGCCTAGAAGCCTTGCCTTATATCTGAAGAGCTGAAGGATTTTGCATATAACATTTTTTACTCTGAATAAGAGATTGTCTTATTGCGCAGGCTATCGAAGAAGAAACCAAACTTCGCAAGATCCAGGAAAATTTAAAAATTAATGAGACCAAATTGAAAGAGTTACAAGATGTGGAATCATCTGTGGGAACAAAGAACGAAGAAATAGATAACAAAATAAAGTAGGAATAAAATTTGAAATACACTTTACTTTCTAAAACACTTATCATTAATTATATGCTTTAATATACTAAATCTATGGTAAGATTAAGAGGATTTATTCTACATTGTCATACATGTTTTACATGTTCTTACTTCAGCTACTCGTTTTTTGTTATAGAGAAATAAAAAGGAAAATTGAACAAGCGGAACGAGAAAGAATAGAAAACCACGAAGCGTATAATAGCGCGAAACAAAAGTACGCGGCAGCGAAGGAGGCCCATTCCAATAAACAGCGCGAATGGCGCTCCATGGAGCACAAAATAAAACGATACGAAGATGATATTGATTTACTACGGGGAGAAATTCAGAAATTAGAAAAGTAAGAACACGTGATATTCTGTTTTATACATATTTCTTGAGTGATATTCGTTGACATATACGGGATCACATTTTCTTGTCGCAGTTGCAATGACGCACAATACAACGAGAGGAAAGAGATGTCAGAGAAGCTGTCAAAGTTGGAGGAAAATTTGGATGAAATCGAAGCTTCGATACGCACAAAGCAAACCGAATTGATGCACTTGGAGACCGACAATACGCGGTTGTCGCAGGAAAAGCAGTTGGCTAAGATTGAAGTGGATAAGTGTATTGCATGCATACGTAAGCTTATACACATCCATGATAAATAAAAAATTACATTTATGTAATTAATATATTTATGTAATTAACATATTTATGTAATTAATTAATATATTTATGTAATTAATTAATATATTTATGTAATTAAAATTATATTTATGTAATTAATGGACAAAAGAGGGAATGTTACCTTTATATATTTTATAAATTTACAGGTAAACTAGAAAGGGATTTGAGCGGGTTCGAGCAGCAATCGGATAATGCGCTGAGTGTGTTTGGACCTAATGTACCGCGTCTACTGAGACGAATAGAGGAGGAATGCAAGAAGGGACGATTCAAAGAAAAACCTCGTGGTCCTATCGGTATGCTGTTTTGAAGTATTGTAGTTCTTACAAAAATTACTTAACCTTCTTTGTAAATTGCATTAATTGCATAGGTGCTTATATAAAGATGAAGGATGAAGCATGGGCACCAGCGGTAGAAAATCACCTAGGTCGTGGTTTTCTCAATACATTTTGCGTAGACAACAACCAGGACGCTAAATTGTTGACCAGTATTATGAGGGAGATATATTACAATGAGAAACTTCCTCAAATTATCACTAGCAAATTTTATAATCGGGTAAGAAGATGTGATACGTTTATTTTAATATTATTAGACCGAAATATTTGTTAAAAGCAAATAAAAAGCTATCAATATTTTATTGATAAATATTTTATATTTCTATTGTACTTCTCATGAACAAGAGCATCATTGCTAGTCTCCTTCCAGAAAATTGACGAACAATGTGTTAATTAATTTCCAATATATACAATTAAGTTTTTCATAAATACTTCTGCATACGTGACTGTATAATTTTTTAGGTACACGACGTTAGGCGATTTTGCACACAATCGCCGAAGTATTCTAATCTGCTGGAAGCGATGGTCATAGAGGATCCTATCGTGGCTAACTGCTTGATCGATCAACGTGAAATCGAATGCATACTTCTTATTCCAACTAATCACGAGGCCTGCGAGATAATGTCCAGTGCAGCAAAAGTGCCGAAAAATTGCAAGAGAGCGTTCACTCAGCAAGGTGATATTTATTTTCCCGATCCAAATTACAGGACATATGGCGGCAGGTGCGGCACACGCGCCAAGTATCTTCAAGTTTCCAGCAAGCAGGCGATGCAGTGAGTAGAAGCAATTTTTATCTGTAGTAATTATCTTTGAATAACCTTTGACTTTGCTGCGCACGCAAACTACTTGTACATATATATATATCATCCTTATTATCTTCTCGCTTAGAACACTGAAGGAAGAGCTTGAGTTAGCAGAGAATAACAGGCGAGAAGCCAAGACTGCGTACAATGCTGTATGTGAAAGAGAAGAGCGCACCAAATCTGCATTGAATAACGTAAACGCGACAGTTATGAAATTCAAGGGGCTCCAAAGACGTTGCAAAGAGGAGATTGATAACTTGAAGGATAAAATCGAGTCAAGCAAAGGCACGTCTGCGGACGTCTTTGTAAGTAACGCAATTGTATTTCTTGATAGAATATCACTTCTATCTTTTCTTCAGAGTAATATGGATGTGTAATATAAACGAGTAATATAGATTATGGATTTATTATACAGCGACACGAACTTACGGAAGTCGAGAAGAAGTTAGCGCAAGAAAGAACTACGCACAAGCTTTTGGCTGAGAAAACGCAGGAGTTCCAAGAAAACGTTAAATCTCTCGACGAAGAAGTCCAGCGTTGCAAAGATTTGAGAGACAATTTATATACATTGATAGATCCTTTAAAAGTATGTATCTTTTTCTCTATTCCGTTTTATTTTTATCTTATAATTTGATGTCATCGCCATCAGTCTGTTAATCTTTCTTAACTTTTAATAACATCGCAGCAACAAATAGATGAGCTCAAAGAGGAAAAAGAAAGGCATCATTTTGAGTCGCAACGCTCTACCCGGAGATTGCAGGAAGTTCATCAAGCCGTACAAGAAACGACGGGTGAATTCGTAATACAAGAAAGAGCCACGAAGAAAGCAGTTGCTAATGCTACCGAAAAATGCCCTAGGATAAACACAACGAGGTTAATAGTGCGGAACGACATTCACGCTCGCAATTATCATTCATTAAGTTTTAAAAGAAATCTGTTTTAATTAGTTAAGAAATCTTAAACTTGAATATCACCGAAAATATTCATTTTTTTTTCATTTGAGATATATATATATATATATATATATATATATATATATATATATA